TAATAAGAGAAATTGTTCAACCTTAATCGTTTCCATCACATGAAGAGTTGGAACAACACCGACCTTTTCTCATCCATCGCATAATGAGTTGGATTAGCATCATCATTTCTTTTTTAAAAAACCCAACCTGACCCGACAACGTTTCTGAGAGAATTTCATAATCAGGTCTTACCCAAAAGAATCGAAACATCCCCAGTGAGAGTTCATAATGAGAAAGCTCGCCCTATGAGAAGAACTCCTAGCACCAGAATTGCAGCAACACAAGCCGGATAAAAAATGGTGCTTATTATCTTTGCTTTATTCTTGTTCCACAACAATGAGTAAAAAGGGGCAGCTGTAATCACCTTTTTTATCCCAATAATAATAATATAAAAATAAAAAAAAGAAAAAAAAAGAAAAAAGGGGTGATCCCTGAATATCCAGGAATTCAATGCCACGGTCGCTATGTTACCCTCTCCTTGCCATCTATACTCCCTGCAATCTGCTCCAAAAGCGCCCAAATTAGAGATGTGATTTTTTTTTAATTTGTAATATGTGTGATATAAACCCAAAACAGAAACATTTGTAAAGGGAACTCGACCCTCACAGTTTCGAGAGCAGCAATACAAAGCAATCATTTTTTTCATTCAAGTTAACTAAACAAGAACAAAAAAAATGAAAAGAAGAATGAAGAATGAATATACCTCTCGACCGTATCTCTCTACCGAAGATTGGAGCCGTTGTTTCCCAATCTGAATAGTGAGAAGGTGTAAGGTATCCCAGAAATATTGAAAAACCTGCACGATTCGATGGCTGACGGAGAAGATCGAGCTTCGAAAGTCGAAATGCCAACCATTTTCATGGATTTGAGAGTCATTCCTCACAAAATCGTGGCCAGGTTCGGGTTCCTGGCATCAAGAAAAGCCTCTCTGGAAATTTTGGGCTTCGCCGGCCTCCGAAGTATGACGACAGACGGTGTTCATCGTGGCGGGAGGCAGTGGCCTAGCCACCGATTTTTGGAGAAGTTTAGAGAGAAGGGATAATTCTCTCTCTAAAAAAAGAAGGAAAATGTGAAGAAGAGAAAAGAAAAAAATAGGAAAAACGAGTTTATATAATCCTAGCAGACGACATTGTTTTGGGCTTCCATACGCGCGTGTTGGACCCGAAGGGTCTAATCCCTTACGCAATCCTCGTCATTTCCTTTGTTTACAATTTGGTCACTTATTTTATGATTAATTTCTTATTTATTTAGAATATTTTGTCCTTATTTCATAATTTTTCATTTTTTTAATACTAATTCTTAGTCTAATTACTTTCAGGCCCCCTTAGGTTCAACGTGTTTTTCCACTTCGGTCACGGTCCCCCTATTTTTTTTATTTCTTTGATCTTGTGCTCTAATTGATGCTTGTTTTAATTTAGTCACCATTATTCTTCTAATTTATTCATTTTAGTCAATAATTATTTTTGATTGGCAATTTTTTTATTTTATTGCATTATGTCCCCTTTATTAAAATGAGAACATTAAATCATAATACGACCTCACGATGACCCGCCCTAGGGTATGATTCACGTTATTTATGGTATGAGTAACAATTAAAAATTAACCACTAACTCATATCTTTTATTAGATTCGATTAAAATTTTTATTGTTTAATTTTCATTGTTATTTCAATTTTTGTCTTAAATTAACATTATTTATATTCTAATCCTTCAATTTTCAGCTTTTATTTATTATTTTTTGGACTTTATATTATGTTTTATTTTAATTTGGTCATTTTGTGTCTATTAATTGCCTTTAATTTATATAAATTGCCTTTTAATTTAGTTTAATTGGGTTTTTGTTAGTCTATTTAGAATTTTTAGCATTTTGGTTCTAGTTTAGATAAACTTTTCCTTAATTTACTTTTTAAATTTAGTTTCTTTTCGATTTAGTCTTAATTTAGTCCTCCTTCTAATTTAAATTTAGAATCAATAATTGATTAAAATTAATTAGGATTAATAATAGAGACTCTATCTTAGACTTAATTTCATATTTAGTCCTTAAATTAGGAGAATTCTTAATTTGGTCCTCGCTTTTGCTCGAGGTTCCACTTTAATTATTCGATTGCAATATTGATTAAAATTTATTTAAGTTAATATTAGAGCATCCACTTTAGATTAGATTTCAATTTAGTCCCTTTAATTTAGGGAGTAATCTGAGTTGGCCCTCGCTTAAATGCTCAATGAACCATATCGATTATTCAATTCAATAACTGGTTAAAATCAAGTAGGATTAATATTAGAGCATACATTTTCAGGTTTATGCCTCTAGGCTCTTTAATTATTCATAATTTGACACTATAAGATAGAGAAAGCCTTAATCTACTTTTAGATTAATTAGGGTTAATAATAAATTGTTTGATTGCATCATGTTTTAAAACCTAAGACAATGTTCACTTATTAGGAAGTCAATAGTATATCACCCGCGAGTATGCTCAGGGGGTGACTAGTGTTGATTCCCAAAATAGGTAAACATCCTTTTCAAGATTGTATCATGATTTCTAAAATATTGAGGCAATGTTTGGTTATTGGTCATAATAGTTGATCTCCCACATTCATGCTAGGGGGCAAATGCTATTGGCTTTAATAAACGAATACCCTTTTCAACTTTGTATCCATAATGATTTTTAAATTAGATAAAGTTCGAACTCAAATTTTAATTTTAAATATAGGGTAATTAACTAGGTACTAATTTTTGGATGTTGTGGGAGTGTTAATCCTTTCCCATACGTAACTGACTCCCAAACCTATTTTCTGGTTTTCTTAGACCTTAAACTTGGTATTTTTATAAAAATAAAATATTTTATTAAAATCCCAGAGTTTTTATGGTGTTCCGATCGCACCTTAAAATGATTGGTAGCAACTCCTCACATTTCAAAATCTTTTCAAAGAAAACCCCCTAAGTCTTACTAATGTTTTTCCCCACTCGGATTAAAAACGGTGTCGATAATATGTAATTGGAGCTCATGTTTTGATCAATGTTACATGCTTATAGATTCATCCTACACAAAGACACAATCTTCACTCTTTTCATTAGAACTAGTTTCGGTAGTGATTTATTGAATTCACCACCAATGATGGCAGAACACGATGGTTTAGGCAATTTGAAGTCATTCTTTATATATGATGACAGAACACGACGGTTTAGGCAATTTGAAGTCATTCTTTATATATGAAGAATTAACCGAGGCTACAAATATTTTTTAGACCATAATCTTTTGGGTGAAGGAAAATTTGGGGTTGTTTATAAAGGTTGCTTACAAGATGGAAGAGGGGTGGTTGTAAAGCAACTAAAAATCGGTGGGGACAAGGTGAACGAGAATTTAAAGTTGAGGTTGAATAATATGATTTTTTGACGATGAATAGGATCGTCGACAGTTGATTCTGATGATTGTTGTTGAGATGAATATGCAAATTTATATAAATTAAGTGTTCCAATCATAAACAGACATAAATTCCTGAAATAATTATAATTTTTAATTTAAAAATATAATTTAATTATATTAATATTAAAATTTAAATTAAATAATAATAAAGGATTAATTATGGATAGATCATTAAGTTTTTTATATTTATGTAATAAAGACAATTTAGTTATTGGTGTGTGTCGGTGTGTCACATTAGTGGTGTGTTTCGATTGCGACGTGCATTCTAGAATTTTCCTTATATTAGAATAATTACTAGTACTTTTTTAGAGAAATTTATTTAGAGTAATTAGTTAATTACGATAATTCAACACTTCAATATATCATTTATGTTAGCGTTTTATTTTTTTATACAAATAAAGTTTAGATAAGGGGTGACTCTCCCAATCCAGGGTAGGGCATACTTAAGATACAATTGAAATTTACATAAAACTTTACAGATTGCCCACCAAGAGTGACGATTGTGGGATTACAATATCAATGCAAATCAACATTTAATATAGCATTTATGTTGTTAATATAGTGATTAATTGAATTTTATGTTATTAAATCAAGCGACATTAATTTAATTGACGTTAAAAATTAAAATTAAAATTACTAACGTAGGTTGGTTCAAGCGGTAAGTAGTTTGATATCATTTAAGTAAGGTCTTAAGTTCAAGTCCTTGTATATGCACAAAATTCTTGCTAGGAAACTCACCAAAGTTAGTAAAATTTTATGTGATAGATATATAGATTAATATTAGTTTTTTTTATTTTCAAAAAATTATAAAATATTCATTAAATTTCTCAAATCGTTATAAAATTATTATTAAATTTTATTATGTTATTATACAATAGTCACAAAATTTATCAAACTATTATAAAATTGTCTTTAAAAATTTATTAAAATTTATCTTATGATCATTTTATAATAGTTTGATAGATTTAATGACTATTTTGTAATTTTTAAATTTCAATGACTAAAAAATCATTTCAACATAATTTAGTAATACATTTGTAAGGATGAGTATGGGTTGGGCTGAGTCGGATTTTTGGCCAACTCGATCCAAAATCCAATCTAACTTTTGAGATAAAACTCATACTCAGTTCGATTTGACACACACACATATATATTACTTTTATTTGATAAAATTGGGAATTGAAAAAGATAATATAGAATATATTATTACAATTATCTCTAAATATGTAAAATATAATTATATTTTTTAGATCAAATATTTTATCTTAAACTTAAACCTAAACTTGATCCAAAATTATATTTTAAAAAATCCAACTCAAACCTTATTTTTTATGAAAAATCTCCTATCAATAAAATTAGATCAAATGAAAACCGTCAGATTCTAATTCCGTATCCATCACTGTACATTTATATACACTTTAACCATTTTAATTTGATTGTTTCGGTTTAATCCGAATTTAATAAACTATTAAATAAATGCCGTGGGAGTACATCAATGGAATTAGATTGCTTAGTGTGTAAGGTATGTGTGAAAAAAAGAGAGGAAAGGATCGGGTCAATAAATTTTCATAATCATATTATACATTTATATATATTATTAACGAGAAAAGGCTGCAGAATTTGGGTATTCTACTATGAAATGAAAATGGGAGTTTTGTCAAACAAGATTTCCAGAGAGGAATTGAAGCCTGGAGATCACATTTACTCATGGAGATACGCCTACATTTATGCGCATCATGGTTCGATTCTTCTCCTGTTTCTTTGTTCTTTTTTATTCATTGCTTTTTAGATCGATCGATTGATGGATTTTCAATGTTAATAAAATCAGGGATTTATATCGGCGAGGGGAAGGTGATTCATTTCACTCAATCCCAAGGTGGTCGAGAAATCAGTACCGGAACCGTCTTGGATCGTATAATTTTTAGTTCATCGACTCGCAATTGCCCTAATTGTGGCGGCGATCAATCGATTCGCTGCGGCGTTATTTCTTCCTGTTTAGATTGCTTCTTAGCCGACGGCGATTTATACCTATTCCAGTACGCCGTTTCACCGGCTTTCTTTGTGGCTAAACCCAGGGGAGGAACCTGCACCATTGCTGTTTCCGATCCATCATCCGAAGTTCTTCACCGTGCTTTCTTCCTCCTCCACAACGGTTTCGGCGTTTACCATCTCTTCAAAAACAACTGTGAAGACTTCGCCATCTATTGTAAAACGGGGCTACTGGTGATCACGAGGATCAGCGTTGGTAGGAGTGGGCAAGCTACATCGTTTTTAGCAGCTACTAGCGCCATAGTTTCTTCACCGTTAAGGTACTTGACCACTAGCTTTACTGGCCTGGCTGCTGTTGGTTACGGGATGTATTGTTTTAGCCGGTTGGTTTCAGACATCGGGGTCCGTCGCGATGTCGAAAAGGTTCCTGTTGAAATGCTTGTTTCGGCTTCTGCTGGCTTCCAGGAAACTTGATGATCACTCAACAGAATTCGATCTCATTTTTCCTTTTTCGATATCTGAACTCATAGTTGCAGAGTATTTGATTCAAGTATGTGTGTTTTATTTGTATGCTCAAACGAAATATTTATTTATGTTATCCTGAACAAAGTTGTTAAAATGTTTAGAGTTATTTTTTTTTGTTTTAAAGTTGGATGATTATAAGTTACTATCTCTTTGGAATTTTTTAATATATTGACAACTCATAGCTCCTGAATCTAGGATTTTTAGAGATTTTTAGAGAGAATAATTTTTCATTTGATCACTAAAGTCACTTAATCAAACGATTATCGTATTTCAGTTATCATGTTATCGTCAAACTCAGATAATCATAATTTTTTAACGAAAAAAGATAAGTTTGAAACATATGATTAATCGAGTGATTATTTTGTAACTTTTAGTAGTAGAGAAACTCAATAAAACATCTTACTATTTTATAATTTTTAATATTCGAGGGACTCAACAAAGTAATATTTATAGTTGGAGGATTATTTTATAATTTTTAATAATAAAAAACTCAATAAAATAATGTCATATAATTAGGAGATTATTTGTATACCTTAACCCTGAAGTAAAGTAGTGTATATAGAGGTATGCATTGATTGCAAAAGGATCACAACACAAGACAAGCAAAGCCAAGATAAAGCAGGATCGATGGCGAAAAAAGCTGTTCTTGTGGGTTGCAACTACTACACGACCCGATTCCATTTGCATGGATACATACACGATGCGGAAACCATGGGAAGCTTGATTATCAGCGAGTGTGGCTTTGACATGAGCGATGTTAAGCTCCTAACTGATGCACCGATGTCGTTGGTTTTACCTACGGGTAAGATTATTAAGGCTGCTCTTAAAGAAATAGTGACAACTGCTAATGCAGATGTCCTTGCCTTTACTGCAACAAGTCCAATGCCAATGCCCTTTTCTTGGGTGGCTTTGCTTAGAATCTCTGATCAATATGGTGGTGGTCAAGCTGTCAATGGTTTTACAGAAAATGCATGGTCGGGGTAATAAATTTGGATTTCAATGACTTCCATGTTCAACTATGTACGATGTATGAATTAACAATGACAAGACTCTGAAGGCCCTAAAACACACAGACGTAAAGTACAGTAATTAAGGAAACACAAATACACTAAAGGCACTCTTCAAATCTATTTTAGTAGTAGCCGCAGCAGAAGAAGAAGACTAGAAGAAGTGCATAATACATCAACTGGTTTTTAGTTTCTAGTTTTGCCATGTATACTGTTGTCTAGGCCTATCAGCCGAGAAGGGTGCATCTGCATTCCCATCACTGGAGTAAAGGCAAGGGTGCTGTTCGAATCCAAGGTCTTGTAAATACTTCCTACCTTCCTTCACAAGCTCTTTGTTTGTTAATGGTGCTTGGCCTCTGTTCTGGTTGAGTATTTGGAGCACTGCATAGGTAAAGGCCCCATGAGCTTTTCCTCTGGTAAGATGACTCCCCTTCAAATCTGCTGATGTCTCAATTGTCTTGGCTTGCACTTAACAGAATCCCCTCATCCTCAGCCACTGACCTTTTGGAACTCAATAGCGCCTTTTGCTCATGCAGAGGTAGGAACTTCATACTCACGTCTTTCTTAAAGTTTAATGCTGAAATATTGCCTACCAAAACCGGAACCATTCCTATAAGGCTTCCCTAAAACTTTGGGCTACCGTCGATGGCGCCTTCTGTTGCAGTGATTCCACTTGTTGCTGATAGCATGCACTGGCTTATGGATCCAACAGGAATGCCCCGAGCCTTGAAGTGAACCGGTGTTGGTATACTCTTCAATCTAGTAGGTCCAATGTGTTCTTTATCCTTGTCAATCAAAACACCACTGTAGCATGATCTGAAAGGATTGTGAAGCTTACTTTTTCTTCTAGTTTTTGAATTAACCTTGAGGTTCATTTGGTAGAGCACAAGGTTCTTAATCTTGAGGTCGTGGGATCGAGTCCCACAGTGGACAATTCATAATTTGGAGGTCTCTCACGGAAGCTGCTCTCAACCTGACGTTGGAAGCAGCCTACTATCATACCTCTCCATTATCCAATTACATATGGGAATAAGAGTCAACTAATTTTTTTCTTCTGAATTAAGTGCCTCAAGTCCATGTCTGCACAACCATATGTAATTATACTACACTGTATAACGCGAAACTAACTTAAAAAATAAAATAAATCAGAAATCATGGCTGGAAACAGTAGAGCCATGTTTCAGTATTTCACCATTCCATCAATCTGATCAGAATGTTAGGAATAAAGGGACAATTGAATCAGACATGATTGATATCCTCCAAAACTTTGAATATTAAGATTTTTGCAGATTAACCTCCAATTTTGACTCACAATATTTTATTTTAGGAAAAAAAATCCCTAATATTTGACAAAATAATCACTTTTTATAAAACATTTTGACCTTTAATTTTTAATTTAAGGATAATAATGTCCCTATTTTTTTAGTGTTAATTGTGCATTAACTAATAGTTTCTACCCATAAATGGGTCCTTTTGCCCAAAAATAAAATGTAGGGAACCAGAACGACTATTTTAATAAACGTTCGGAGCTAATTTTGACATTATGCCTATTATTGAGAATGTAGTACTATCTCATTTGGTTTATTTGGCCGGATGTAAGATTAGAGTGTTTGATTGAAGGAATGCAATATTATTTGAATGTGTATTTTAGCAAATTATATTCATGACATATGTTCTTTTTAACAAATTAAGCTTTTAAAAAACTAACAAAATAAACTCGAACAAGAGATAAATACGAATAGATATGACTGTATCGACAAACGAACCACAAAAGAGATAAATAATAAAAAATTATCATTAAAATGTGCTATAGAGGCAGAGAAAAACATGTCATAAAGACAGAAAAATATATGCCAAAAAGCCAGAATTATCAAGAATAAAAAACAAGAAAAAAAAAAATAAAATATAATAAAGAAAAAGAAAAAATAATGAATACCGATGGTCGGCAACTAATACCAAAACTGATGTCGTTGACAATCACAAAGATAAAAAAGAAAATAGAGTAGCGGCGGCTATAAAAAAGAGAAAAAGAATTTAACAAATTAAGATTTTAATATTAATTATAAATATTTGTATAGAAATTCATATAACTATTTTAAATTTTTAACTAAATTCCAATTATATTGACTTCGATAGATTTATAAATAAATAATAATTATTTAATTGCTATTACTAGAAAAATAATTACCATTGATTTTAGATGTATGTTATTTTTAATGAAATATTTAATATTATTTTAAAAGGTTAGTAAATTATTCAGGTAAAAAATATAATTAAAAATTAAAATCTCGACTCATAAAATTTTCATTAAATAAAATAAAAAACATTTAAACAATATTATCATAAAATATATAACTAAAATTTAAAAATGTTAAATAAATAGAATTTATTAAAAATAAGTTAAATATCTGATTTAAATATAATACAAATATGACAATGAATCTGAATCAAATGTAATAATATAATTCTAAAAAAGAGTATTATTTCTGATAATGAATTTTAAACGAACTAAACATCCCCTAAAAACTTCATGTCTTTTATCTTAAAATAATTATTAACTATAAAAATTAATATAAATATAAAACATTTTAAATATGATAATAATACGAGAAAAATGCACGAATCGTATAACAAAAAAATAGTTTCAACATTTGTCACTTTTGTTCCTCAAATTTAAAACAGTAGTGAAATTGGGAAGATAGAAAGTTGTAAGTAGTTAAGCTTTTTGACGATGCATTTTACATTAACATTATATATAGGTAAATTTCACGTTTAGTAACTTAACTATCATTTTTATTCTGATTTGGTCACTCAACTACTTTTTTAAAACCATACCAAGTTTAGTTTTGGTTTTATTTTGACCATCTGCCGTTAAAATTAACGGTGATGCTGACGTGTCACCTTAAGAAAATACCACATCATCATTGGAAAATTAATATATCATGTTAGCATTATGTTAATTTTTGAGCGGTGTGTGACCAAAATAAAACTAAAATATAATATTAGTTATATTTTGAAAAAAATAATTGAGTAACTAAAACAAAATAAAAGTGATAGTTGGGTTATGAAACATGTAGTTTACCCTAAAACATATAGTATTTGCAGTATTGATGTGGGCCTGGTGACGAGGCTGTGCTTAGGGTGGAGGGCAATTAGGGATGTAAAAAGTTGACCCGACCTGTAAATTTGAGTGAAACTGACTCGAGTCAAAATTATTTTTGACATGCGTTGTGACGATCGGAAACCGACTCAAGTTGGAAGTGGTGTTGACCTGAACACAAGTTGGACCTGGAAATTGTAGATCTGAACCCGAATTGAACTAAAAATATAATCCCGAACCCGAACTGCATCGACTTGTCAACACTCATTTTCATCTGACCTTATTATATAGTATTTATATATTAATTTATGTTATGTAGTAAATGTATTATTATTATTCATTGTTTATATATTATATCATTATATTATTACATGTCATATATATACATGTTCATTTTCATGTCCAATAAATTACAAGCAATGCCCCAGCCCAGTAGTACACACAAGCCCAACATGACCCACCGTAGACCTGAATCAGTAATCCAGAAACCGGCTAAAACCCGACCCGAGACTCGGTTCAGGCCCGAACTAGCCTAATATGCTACCTGAAATAGTTAAGGTTTTTAAACCCTAACTTTTCACCATACGCTTAGCGCCGCGCCTCTAACTGTCTAAGAACAACCGCCGGGCAGAGGAAAAACTCTTGGAGAGTCCTTATCCCAGCAGCAACAACCCACCTCCCCAATAAATCCAGCGCACAACCAAGTAAAAAAAAAAACAAAAGCACAAATTAGTATCCTAGTTCAACTTCAACTAGGAGTCTAAAACAGTGTGTTTGTAGATCTATAAATGCAAATGCATGCAGCAAACGATGGAAAGAGGGAGATTGGAACAAAAAAGAGAGGAATTACTTAGAAAGAACAGGTGGAAACGAGTAAAAGAGAGAGAGAGAGTCGAACAACAAAATACCAGGAGAGAAATCGAGAGAGAAAAAGAAAAGAAACAGAGAAAAGAATACGACAGTAAG